GATGAACCCATCCCTGGATACATGGAGATGTTAGAATACCGAAAATAGGCTAGAGGGTATGTGATGGCCCTGGAAGACGGAAAAGCCATGGAGGGTTATCTGGAAACGATGTTGCAAGGCACCACCCTCAAGCAGAAGGCGTACGGGACTTTAGCGTCGTCCGACATACAAGCAGAAACGATAGAGCAGTTGATGAGGGTGAACATGAAAGAACCCGAGGAATTAGAGCCCATGAGAAAGATAGATGAAATCAGGAGATTTTCAAACAAGGAGCTGAGACTCACTAAAGAATCTATGGGGGCACTGCCGAAGTCCAGTGAATACTGTGGACCGATCAAGAAGAAATCGTATAGCTACGTATCCGGAATCATAGGGATAGCGTACAACCCTTTCCTGAGTGAAGACATACGCGATTGCTTCTTCGATTACGAGCAGGCGTTGTTACTAAGATTCTGGACGTCCAGAATTGTAACGATTAAGAGCGTTAACAATCCACAGGCCAAATTGGGACTGGTCTTGGAAGAAGAGGTGACTGCCCCTTCCGTACCAAAATCCGACAAAAGAGTGGAGTTTGGGTTGGGATTCTCAGATGAATTACTGAGGACGAGCTTGATGGCAGTGTGGGAATTGATGAGGCCATCATGGTTTCCTAGTCCCAACGCTGACTCGATATTGCGAGCGACACAAGACGTGCAGAGGGAACTGAATGCAGACTGTAACCTGCGTGACCTCAACATCATATATAATGTGATGATAACGGCCTCTAAGAGCAACGGAGAAGATAAAGTGGAGTTGCCTGGCTGGGGACCAGAAGACTGGGTTAAACCTGGTAGCTGTCTGGCGGAAGTCTTTGGACTGGAGGGTCACGTTTGTGGAATTATGGACTGTGTGAAGACCCTGGAGAAACAACACAAGCAATTGACAGTATTGTTTGGAAACGTAGTGATGAAAGCGAGAACAGAAACGGAACTGATAGCAGATTGCCATGGAGGAACCGATGTGAATCTAGTGACTGCACTAGGATTCTACAGCATGTTTGGTTCTTTAGAGTCACTATTGAATCTAGAACAGAAACATGAGATGGTCACAGCCATCAGTGTAGAAGTATTCCCAGGAGTTCTGCAGACTGAGCAGAAATACATAGGAAAATGGAGGGAAGCAATCGAGACGGAAATGAACATTAGACACAGTGAGACTTATTGTAGACCATCAGGAGCACGATATTTGGTGGGTTCAACATTGGCTCCAATGTGCAAGAGCAGATACCCTGTACATTTCGTAGCTGTGGACGTGAAGAGTACGAGAACGATTGTGGATCAAGCCTTCTCAGTGCCGAAGTGTGTGAGACTGGCGCGAATGTCCGAGAAGTCATACGAGTTGCTATGTAAGATGTTCTCAGCAGTTCCAGAGAGAACCAAAGAAGAATTGGAGTCAATATTAGGTAAGAAGTTCATGGGATACGTGAGCGGGAACTTCAGTGACTTCGAGAGACAGAAACAGAGAGGATCAACGGTCACAGATTACAATGCAGTAGATGAGAATGATGAGGTCCACCGCGTGATGATGGAAGTGGAACCATTGCTGGAAGCTTCGGGAAAACGTAATTGGAGGAGCATCATGTTGACGCATGACGAGTTTCCTTGCCACTGCTTGCTGCAGACCTGGTGGTATCCCAAGCGTAGTAATCTGATGTTGATCTGGGACTCTGGAGAGCTGCTCTCCATGGGTTTACCAGATTCATCACAGCCCATAACAATAGTGATAGTGGGAGTTATGATGGCGATACGATGGCTGGAAGCTCATGTGAGAGAAAATAACAGATAGGAGGCACCGACAAGAGAACAGTTGCGGAAGTTAGATTGTCTAAAAGATTTAGATCTTTTTGAGACAATGTGCAAAATTCTAAACATTCCGATGGAAGTGAAGAAGATATGGGCAAGAAAACGATTGATGCCATGGTTCAGAGCTAACATGACTGCATGGTTGTACGAGTATGCGAAAAAGCATATATCGAAGCACGGCAGGGTGTACAGTGAATATCAGCTGGACATTGGAGCAGGAGCTTTCAAGCGAACTCTCGTGACTCATCGGAATGCAGTGACCACCGCTGTAAAAAGAATTTCCAGGACGAGTGAAGGTAGTGGAAAGGAGAAGGCAGAGATGTTAAAGGAAGATTTGGAGAGAAACGTGACAACAGCTTCTGCAGGAACAGAGAAACTAAAGTGGATCCCCTACCTTGTTGCAAACAGAGGGTAGAAGAGCAGAAGTGTTGGAGGACGGCTTCCAACAGCGTCAGGATAGCTAACGACGTGTTGCAGGATACAGAAACTGAGAGTGCAGAGTCATTATCACAGGAGAAGGAAATGGAACACTGACGAATAGTCGAAAAACGAGATGCAAAAAGAGATGAAATTAGAGAAATTTAGAAGTTTCAGAACTTCTAAACGACGAAAGAAGAAGAGAACAAAGGAGTAATGAAGAAAAAGCTAAAACTCAGAATTGTTTTATGTGTGTGAAAAAAACTCAAGTGAGAAACCAAGCAACCAAGGTGTAATTGAAAACTGAAACATTTAGTTGAGTTTTGAAATTGTTGCATTTATAAATTTGCATTTTGATTTTAGTCGAGTGGCTTCTGAGACACTCACTTACTATTTATTTAAAAAGGCTCAAGTGAAGGAGTATATTTAAATATTCCAGCCTGCATGACTGTTTTTAATCAGCTAGGAGAACTGATCACTTTGTGGTGACATGGAAGGCTTGAGTAATCTCTCGAAGAGGGAGATTGTTTCATTGTTCTTGCTAACCACCAAGTTTCTTAGTTTTAGTATTGAGGACAATAACAAGCAAGATTTCCGAAGGGAGAAGCATAGTAGGATAATTTTAGCTTGTTGGTTGGCAGGACTGTCCTGCAAGCCAACACCTTTTAAATCTAAGAGAAAAAGTTTTAATCAGGACATTGACATTGGAGGTCAGAAAATATGTTTTATCTTAAGTCATATCCTCAATGTGCAGATTAATGAAAGAATTTGAAGGTTATAGTGATGTAGTATGATGCCATTTGTATTCTGCAGTGAGTCGATGTGACGTGGATAAAAGTAATTTCGTGCATTTTGTAAGTTCTGTTCGATGACACTGTATCTATTTTACGAACATTGCGTGATTCAATGAGGACATTGACCGGACTGTCCGGGGAGTATGTGACATTCGACCAGAATGGCCAAAATGCAATCTCTGCAGAATTCGAATTTTAGCAGCGAGCCTTCCGGATTGGTGATTATTAAGAATTAAGAACGTTATTTGAACGATTGAACAAAACGTGAAGGTTAAAGGATTCGGGAATCGCTAATTTTTAAATTATCGAAGTGATTACGTAACATTTCTGAGAAAAGTCAGAAACGGCCATTTTAGCAAAAAGAACTAAGAAAAACAGAACAACATTAGTTGCGCGGACGATGAGTACGAAAACTGTGAGAAAAAACAATAGCAGATTGCAGGAATAGCAGTGAACACTCTGAGTTGCAACTATTGTGTCGCTACAATAGTTGCAAGGCCGTTGCAGATGACGGTGAGGGGTGGAGGACAGCCTTCCGGATTAAGAAGAAATCAAGATTAACGAGCTTGATTCAGTGGATTCAAGAATCCGGAAGGGTTTCGGAACTGAGACTTTTATTCTTTTATATAGACTTTTAGCTTCTTGTCATGTCCTGATTTGAATTTAATTAACAACTGGATTCATTTTGATAAGGATGAGAAGCTAGGAGTTGGGGGAAAGGGTTGATCCATCTTCGATGGAGATGATGATTTTTATCTACTGAACAAAAACAATAGTAATATAATAAGTAGTAGCCCCGTTTTTAGGAGTGACCTCGTGGTCTAGGGATACTGAGACACAGCCATGAGCTCACTATTCCTGCATGTAATTAAGTTAATTTGAGTGTTTTGACCGAAGCCGAAAGCAGTAACGTTTTGTCGACCCGATGTTAGAAAAGACCACCGAAAAGTACTGGCTTGGTAGAGACGGTGAAAAGCATGCAAAGCTCTGTTTAGACGTTAGCCAGTCGTCTTAAGACTTAGTTTTGTTTTCCGTCGATATGTATCTTCCGGGCGAATGTTACAAAGTTGAAGTGAACAGGAGCGTTTTTTCTAAAACTAAACTGAGAATTATGAAAAAAGGGTTTCCAAAAATCATAGTTCGATATTGAAAATAAACATCGCTCAAGTATATTTGAAGGTTCTGATAAAAAAGAGACTGATCGATAGTTTTCTAATGTAATTTTGCTGCCCTTTTTATATATTGGAGAAATTATTGAATATTTCCATGTTTCTGGATATGTTGAAGATTGCTTAATTTTGTAAAATAATTGATACAGTGAACGACAGATGATTGTTTTAGCACATTTAGAGAATTGAAAAAACTGGAAGGTAACCCGGACCACTGGCTTTTTCGATATCTAGGGTTGAACAAATATCCATAATCAAGGACTCGTCGATAATAAAATCATCTATAATTATTTTTAAAGAAGATCCAACATTGGCAACCTATGAAAAAACTTCATGGAGATATTTTTAATTTTAATGGAAAACTTGTAAGATAATGATATTATTATTAAATGCGTAAATTTGTAACACCTATCTTGCATGTATTTGAAAATAATTATCATCATTATCATAACAATTTGACTTATACTTGTAGATTTGAAAATTTTTTAAACTGACATGAAGTGTTTTTTAAGCCAGTCGTTTTAGAACCTAGTGTTATTTTCCGTTGATTTGTACTTCCGGGCGAATGTTACATCTTTTCTGGTTCAACGATCTATTGCAAGAACCGTAGGTGCGAGTCATGCGCTAGTTATGAGTAAGTGTGTTCCTTTTAATTGATTTTTTTTTGTTTTTATCACTTGTCAGATTGCACATAATACGAACATATATTTTTAAGCATTTGAAAATTTTAAGCTGCGTTGTCTTGCGTTATTCTTGTTGCTGTGTTTTAATTCAGATAAATGTCAGCTAAATCATGTCAAAAATTATTAGGCAAATAGTGAGTGGTGAGAGGGCCGCTTTGGCATATGCGATAACGCTTGTTGAGTCTCAAAGTAAAGTAAAACGTGCATTGGCGACTGAATTGGTTGAAGAAGCTACTAGAATAAAAAAGGACAGTGACTGCCTACGTGTTGCAATGACAGGAGCTCCTGGTGCTGGAAAATCGTGTTTGCTAGAAAAATTAGGAATGGAACTTTTAGACAGAGACAAGAAGGTAGCTGTTCTTGCTATTGATCCCTCCTCGCCAACGACTAAGGGATCTTTATTAGGTTTGTTTTCTTTAACAGCGTTTTTTTTTGAAAAATGAAGATTCGAGTCTCAATCCTTACCGTGGGCTTAGTATTGACCTGTGGCAATCCTTACCTCTTTAATGATGCAAAATCACTGCTGGTACTGACTCTTTTCCAAGGGTGGCAATAATATCCCGGCTGTGCTGCTCAACAGATTTCTTATTCTTTAGGTTTTTAGTTTCCATAACAAAAACAGCTTTATCGGAACATTTTGAGCTGCTGCACATAATGGGGTAAGAAGGAACCATGGATTACCTTGTATTTTACGCCCGATTTTAGACTATCTCGGAGGCCCTTTCGGTCGTTATTTGGATTCCACAAAATTTGCCTCGATTTCTAGAAAAATTGGTTTGAAATTTTCCGCTTTTCAGACTAAATTAACGGAAACAAATGCGGCCCATTTTCTGTTCCGACCGTTAAAAATGGGGGGGGGGCTGCGTATTTTATTTTTTTCTCACGCAAAACGCAAAATTGAGATATATCATATAAAAATTTCCGATAGTTTTTGTCGTTATTTGCATTCCAAAATTTTCGTCTTGTCGAGAAAAATTGGTTTGAACTTTTTGAAAATCCGCCCCCTCGAGAAAAATTTATATTCCTTGCTGAATTTATCGCTCTTTTTATGCAGCGTTATACCTAATTCGAATGCCATTATTTGCCATTAATCTCAAAAAACACCGTATAAAGAACAACAGATTTTTATACAATTTATTATATATCTATTATATATTTAAATGCGGGCTTCACTATCTCGCCATGTTAAAGCTTTTTCAACGTATTATTTTTGCATGTTTAAGCTGTATCGTATATTGCAATGGTTAAGAATTTTTTCGATTTTCCAACACTATCTCGCCATGTTAAAGCTTTTTCAACGTATTATTTTTGCATGTTTAAGCTTTATCGGATATTGCAATGGTTAGGAATTTTTTCGATTTTCCAATTCGATTTCAGCGGTTATTTTACCGAGTTTAAATTAAGCAGCCCAATATTGAATTAGGGGTTGCGAAATTGACCTCCAATTTTGAATGCCCGAATCATTTTAGTTAACGAGATAAGACGATTTTTGAGGTTTTTTCAAAAGTTTTCAGAAATTTCAAATAACAAAATAATTTTAAAAACTTGAAGTTCCCAACCCTGTAGTTGGGCACTGTCAGAGTACTATCAAGGATTGCGAGTCTTGCCCCCAAATATGACTGCTCAAATCCTTGTAGTTTTCGAGATATGACATTTTGTGTGATTTTTTCAAAAATTTTCAGAAAACTTAAATTATTATTATTTTTTAAAATCTGAAATTCCCAACCCTGTTGTTGGAAACTGTGAGGGTACTCTCAGGGATTGCGATTCTTGCCTCTGAATGTGACTGCACAAATCCTTGTAGTTTTCCAGATATGATGTTTTTTAACATTTTTTCAAAACTTTCAGAGAAAATAGATATAAAAAATTTGAAGATCTCATCTCTATATTAAGTCTTTAATACGGTGCTCTCAGGGGTTGCAAATGTTGCATCCAAATTTGACTGCTCTAAGTTTCCAAATTTGACTTCTGTAAGTTTCCAAATTTTATGATTTTTCAAAATTTTAATTAAAAATTTGAAAAAAAAACCTTACAAAGTTTGAATTTGTGAAGCCTGTAATTTGCTGCTGTCAGAGTACACTTAAAGGATGCAGATCGTATTTCGAAATTTGTGGTTTTTTTGAGTTGTTAAAAATTCGAAGCACCGGAGGTGCGTTACACGCTAGTTGACATGAGTTTTTCGAAGAAATTGGAACAGTCCAAAAATTGGGTCAAAAGTTCATAGATTTTGAGCCTTCCAGAGGCCGTAGGGAGAGGGTAACTCAATGAGAGACTAGCGAAAACTGCAGGCTTACGTAGGGGAAGCTGATTTTTCCATTGATAAAACAGGTATTGTGAAAATTAATGGGATTGGTTTTTTTTGAAATTTTTTTGAAGCTTTGACCAGTGCTTTCTTAAAGGCCGTGCCATAAATACCAAAATAAGCTTCTCATTTATGTGACTCCTTTTTCCGCTATTCTTCCCCTCTCCCTCATAAGCCTGGACTTTTCATCTGCTTCAAGCACTTTTTAATATGATTAAAATTAATTTCTATTTATTCATGCTGTAATTTTTTAATTTACCTTTAAAATGTTGTGTTATATCCTTTTATTCTGTTTTTTGCATTTCGTTTAAATGCTTTCTTTAGATTGCATTCTGTTTCTGATCGCATCCATTTAATTTTTGTTTAAAAATATGTTTTCCTTTAGTTCTGATGAAAACCAAATGCTTTGCAAGCAGCTTTTCTTGTGAATCAATTTTTAGAACAATGTTTGAACATAGGAAAAATTGAAGGTTGGATGGAATCGGTTTCATCCAGTTTCACATTTCTGTTTTCTCAGGTTCGCCTGTGTCTGTTTTTTTTCATTTCTTTCAATATCTACTTTACTTTTGCATATCAGGTAAAGCTTGAGGAGGCAATTGAAATAGATATTGTAAATGGAAAAAACAGAAATTAAAGTTTTCCGCTGATTAGATTAATTAATTTCAAAGTCTTCAAATTATGAATCTTGTCTCAATTTTTTCGCTGTATTTTTTGATCCAAGCTAAGCATCATTGTTTGCTTGCATCAGTTTTGATCTGAAACTGATTCAGTGAGCTTCAAAGTTTTTTGGATGGTCATCAATGGTAGCAAGGCTGAGTTCACGAATGTCAGATACCACCCGGAAATCCGCCTCCCCTTTTTTTAAAATAAGTAATTTAAAACTATTTAGATTATTTTCATTGCCAATTTTCGTTAAAAGAAATAACTGGAGACAAAATAGTGTGCGTCATGCATAACAGCGTGCTTTTCTCGTTAAGCATAATTGTTCCGTCAATTTCCCTAAGTGAAGTCAGGATCTAAGAATTAGCCAATGTTTTTTCGCCCAATTTTGCGTGCCTTTAGCAGAGGTCACAGGGGTCAAGTTCAAGTGTGGTATCATAAAAAAGCCCCATTAGATTTTATTCGGAATCCAAAGAAGTGCCGAAGTCTCGAGAAATTGGTCTGGAATTTTCCCGTTTTTCAAATGACACGGAATTTACCAGTGACAGTTCAGTTTCTTGAATTTCTTAACTTCAATCATCGTGGTGGGAACATTCAGTTACCGGTTATCGTTTTTTACACAAGCAAAGCTTGTGTCATAGTATGAACTCTCTTTTTTTTCAACCTAAGTCGCAAATATTGTTGCGACAAAATGCGTCATAATTGGCTTGCGTCACTTAGCATTTATGTAGACTCATAATTAGCGTGCGTCACTTCAGAAATTTTGTAGACTCAAAGTCTTACGCAATCAGTTTTTCCCAGTAGCGTTATCGGTCATATTTATGCTTGTGCATGCGAAGTGCAACTTCACCTCTGTGTTTTATCTTGATCTCATGTTCAGGTGACAAAACGAGAATGACGGAGCTATCCAGGCAGTTGAATGCCTTTGTCAGGCCATCTCCCACTAATGGCTGGCTAGGAGGTGTTACACGCGCCACCGGCGAGGCCACACTGTTCTGTGAACTAGCAGGCTATGACGTCATTTTTGTGGAGACAGTTGGCGTTGGTCAGAGCGAAGCGGCAGTCAGTCACGTGACTGACTGCTGCACAATGGTGTTATCACCGAACGCAGGAGATGAGTTACAAGCTTTGAAAAGAGGAGTGATGGAGCTGTGTGACTTTTTCTTGGTAAATAAGTGTGACGGGGATTTGGTGCCCGGTGCGAACAGGCTGAAGAGTGACCTGCTCAGTGCTTCGAAGGTTAGAATTTACAAAAATATTGATGTGTCTGGTGTTTATTAGAAACGCTTACCTTATAGGACGCTAAGTCTGTTTTTTTTTTCTCGCGATGAGCGTGTTTAAAGACTGTATTGACCGAATTTCTTACGACCGTATTTTAGAAAATACTGATGCATAATAGAAAAAAAGTCGAAATTTCAAGTTTTGTCAAATGTTTCGTTTTTTTTTTTTCATTTATCTGATTTCTAGCGAAACGATTGCGTGTCTATGTACGAAGTGAAGGCACTTATTTAGGTCGTGCGGTTTGTTTTTAACTTCAAATCTGACAAGCAAGTGTAATGAAAAAATATAGGTGAGGGCAGTGATAAAGTTGCATTGATGTGATAGTGAAATTATTCAACTGAAGATACTTAATTGAAAAACAAGACGTATATTCTTATTCAGCGTAGATTGTATAAAAACTGTTCTTATATTGCCACTTTGTTGGATCTACATTCCTTCCTTACCTTGCCTTTTTCTTCGCTGAAATATTAGAGATAGTTATCAATCCTCAGATTGCTAGCGGTATATATCAGCAAATGATTGCTCGGACATATTATTGTCTGTCTTCTAGAAGTCGGGCATATAAAGAGCTATATTGAAATCAAAATGATTGTTAAATCAGCAAAAATTAATTAAGTTTGATAATTCGGTTATTATCAGTACTTAAAGCTTGGCAACTTACATCGCTAATTTGGTACTTTCCGCAAAGAGTGGGAGCTTATTGGTCAGCTACCATTCGTTGATTTGTTTTCGCAATAATCTTTGGACGCGTTTAAATGTGATCACTATTATTGCTATTATTTCAGATTAAAGTTTTTGTTTTTTGAGCTCTAAATCTCGATCTGAATCATCTTTCAAAATACTACTACCAAATAACAAAGCCACAATTTGAAGCAAGATGAACCAAAGTCGAGCTAACAAATCGCGCGATTATACCTCCGAATTGTCGACTATTCGGGATTTTCTGACCAATTTCTACACCGATGACCCCAATGTTGGAGGAAAGTGCTTCAAGTACCTGCAGAAACTGAAGCAGGTGGCGCAGCGTGATTTGGTAGCTGTTCACATTGACCTAGATGACGTCATTGAATCGGATCCCGAGTTGGGCGAGAAGATCCAAATGAACGTGCCGAGATACCAGAGTCTGTTTGAAAGTGCTATGGATGATATTTTGGTGGAGCTTCAAGGAAACCAGATTGTGAAGAAAGATGCTCTCGATGTGTTCATTGATCATAGATTGCGCCATGAAGCCAAGGTGGAAGCCGGTCAGGCTCAGGCTAAGGATCCGAGGAAAGTGTTCCCGCCAGAGTTATTGCGACGATACGATATGTTTTTCAAAGCTCCTTCGGCCCAAAAACCGATGCCAATCAGAGAGGTGAAAGCAAACACGATTGGAAAGTTCGTGACTGTGAAGGGCGTGGTGTTGCGAAGCACCGAGGTAAAGCCTAGATTGGCCGTGGCTACGTATACTTGCGACAAGTGTGGAGCGGAGGCATTTCAGCCTGTAATGTCGCAATCATTCATGCCTTTGATTTTCTGTCCTAGTAGCGAATGTAAAAGCCAAAGCAGTGGAGGCAAACTTTTGTTGCAATCACGGGGATCCAAATTCATCAAATTTCAAGAGGTCCGAGTTCAGGAGAGAAGTGAGCTCGTCCCCACCGGTCAAGTTCCTAGGACGATCCAAGTGACGATAACTGGGGAGAACACCCGAATCGTGGGACCTGGAGACAATGTTGTGATCTCAGGTGTCTTGTTGCCGCAACGACAAATGGGCTTCAGACAGATGATGGCTGGTCTGTTGGCGGATACATTTATGGAGGCACATCATCTTCAGCAAGTTTCAAAGCTTATGGAGGGAGGAGAAGATGATGCTGAGACTGTACCTATGACCGAAGAGGAAGCTGATGTTTTGCGAGAAGATAACTTCTACGAAAAACTGGCCTGTAGCATCGCTCCTGAGATTTACGGCCATGAAGATGTGAAAAAAGCACTGCTGCTTCTGCTTGTCGGAGGAATTGACAATACTCCTAAGGGAATGAAGATCAGAGGAAACATCAATATCTGTCTAATGGGAGATCCAGGTGTGGCAAAATCACAGCTGCTGTCTTATATTGCTAGACTTGCGCCAAGATCGCAGTACACTACTGGGAGAGGTTCATCGGCAGTGGGTTTGACAGCTGCTGTCATGAAGGATCCAGTAACAAACGAGATGATTCTAGAAGGAGGAGCATTAATTTTAGCCGACCAGGGTGTGTGTTGCATCGACGAATTCGATAAAATGTTGGACTCAGATAGGACTGCGATTCACGAGGTGATGGAGCAGCAAACGGTATCCATTGCGAAAGCTGGAATCATGACTACCTTGAACGCCCGAGTGTCAATACTGGCAGCGGCTAATCCAGCTTACGGTCGGTACAACCCGAGGAAATCAATCGAACAAAACGTCCAATTGCCTGCTGCGCTTCTTTCGAGATTTGATCTTTTGTGGTTGATCCAAGATAAACCTGACACTGAGAACGACTACGCTCTGGCGCAACATATAACATACGTGCATCAAAACTTGACTCACCCTCCCATCCACTTTACTCCTATTGACTCGACAACAATGAGGCGATACATACAACTGGCCAAGGGGCGAAATCCGACTGTGCCTAAGCACTTGACTGACTACATAGCTGCAGGATACATTGAGATGCGAAGAAACTCACGCGATAAAAAAGTGGACAGTCTGTTCGTCTCTGCTCGTACTTTATTGGCTGTCGTGCGACTTGCCACTGCGCTTGCTCGACTGCGATTGGGCGACGAAGTGACTCGTGATGACGTCAACGAAGCGATGCGACTGATCGAAATGTCGAAAGACTCGTTGCTTGGCGACGAAGAAATGGCTCAACAGGGCAAAGGAAACAAGAAAGACAAAATATTCAACATTATTCGCGATTTACTGAATGATTACACAAAGTCGAGCGATCAGCGAGAGGATGATGAGGATTCGGATTTGGGTGCACTCAAGGTCGACAAGGCACTGGCTCAAGATAGGTTGAGAGCGAGTGGATTCAATGAACAGGAGATCCAAGGCGTTTTGACTGAGTACGAGAACAATGGTGTGATCATGATCCGACGGGGGTACATTATCTTCTGTGACTAGATAATACCCTTAGTTTGATATACTGCGCAATATTCAAGTGTAATAGTATTTGTTTTTTGCTTATTTCGATTTGGCCATGATGAATATTGAATTTTGGATTTTAATCTTTTAAATTATGCAATAAAGTGCCTTTTACATTCACTTGATTAATATCTTATACGGTTGCCTTTTTAGAAATTTTCTTGTAGGAAAATCGATTTCAGATTTGAATTTCTGTTATCCAATGAATGACTTCATTATAATCATCCTTTCTGGAAATATGAGACGTGATAGACTGAATGAACAAATTCTTCCAACAATTGTCAATCATTTGATAAATAGATCCCAGCTTGCAAAATTTTCGACAGTTTTAAGATCTGATCAGTATGAGGTTGCGTTTGATTTGCGTCTGTGCTAATTGTTAGTAATTGAATCGTTCTTGTCATCAAAACTTTTTTTTTCTAAATGAATTAAGAAATTAAGCTCAGTTTAGCGAAAGAAGGTTTTTGAAGCTGCTCTGCAGCACTTAATTTGCGTGGGGGTGGGCTGAAACGCACTTATATGCTGTCCAAACGTCTTTTCGTCTTTTAATCCCGGTGGTTAAGTAAAGCAGAGAAAGAAGAGACAAAACAGGTAGCAGATTTTTGTTGGAGGGAATTTGACTAGGGAACTTTTCACATTTTACGACCATTTTACTACATGGATGTTCATCAAAAGCTGTCGAACTTGATTTATTCCAAAGGGGGTTTGATGCTTAATATGCTTTAATATTGAGTTCGGGGCTAGTTAAAAAAACGTAATTGGGCTTGTTAGTATTTATGATAGTCCTGAAATACAATTGGTGTGCCTAAATATGGCAGATAATATCAAAATCTGCTTCCTCGAACGAACATCCTAGCGAAAAGAACTGTCTGCTTCAGGCTTTGCACATTTTTTGAGCTCTTAATTATTTTATTTAAGTTTTTCTTAGCTTGTGTTTGCCAAGTGCAGCTTCGCCTATGTGTCAAGCATTGTTGCGAGCTTATATCGGAACAGAAACAACTAAATAAAAAGTGGTATATGCAGAACCAGATATATATCTCAATTGTACGTAATTTCAAAGCTACTTAAGATAATAATTGGTAGTTAGTTCTAAATTCTGTGATAGGTTTTTTCTCAACTCTCAGTTTTTTTTTCAAGATTAAAGGTTATAGTCAAAATCAACGAGTTTGACTTTCTAATCAATTTCCTGTTTAACAATAACGCGACAAAATGAGCTGGTCTCCTAAATTATAAAATGGCCGTGAATTTATATGGCTAGTCCTGTTTCTGGGTGCAGGAAAACCCACGTAACAGATTATCAGGAAATACCTGGTCATTACGAACTTTGTTCTCAGAGAATCTAGATTTGGCATAACCCGGAGTTTTAACTCTTGCAATAAGCAAGGGTATTACAATCGGGTGATAGCCTTTTTCCCGTGAATAACTTTCTTCACAGATTGGTCATTTTTAGTAGGAATGGTTATTTTCACTACTGACAAGTTCATTTTCTTGTGAAATCGGTCATGATTTTGGTTTTAAAAGGGGAAGTTGATTTAAGGTAATAACCTTTCAAAAAAAATCTTGAATTTTTTTTCGTATTTGTGGTTTTGTCCTAGTTTTCATTGGTTCATTTTCCGATTTTTTTCGAATGTCACTTTATATTATCTATTACGGTTTTTATGGACCTACTTTCCAAAGCATAGCTTTTTTTTATGATGTTATAGCATCATAGTCAAATTATATTGCGTAATTTTAAGGTAAAGTGTATGGTTATGCTATAATGTGGTTCATATAAACGTTACAACTCAATTTTTTTATGACAACAGTTTTGTATTGGGATGAAATTATTCTCTTCTTTGTTCGGTTCTCTTAACAAAACTTTTCTCCATCAATTAACCTTGACATATTCCACGTTCCTTCTCACTTGGCCTAGGGTTAATGCCGTCGCCTCCGCACCCGAAGGTTTTCTCAGCATTTAAAAGTTTCTCAGACCAATTGCACTTGCGAGAGTAAGTGTCTTTAAATCGTGAGCTAGACTTTTTTCCCGTGAATGACTTATATTAGCATTTGTAATTGAAATTGACGTTGCTTTATTATTACACTAACGTCAGCTTGTTATAATGTTAGGAACCATCTTTTTTCTAACCTAACTTGCAAATAAATGTGTTCACTTAATTAGAGAAATTTTACTGGAGCACTGGAAATGGCATAGCATCTGTTCTCTGCTTCATTTGTGACTAGTGTTTGGCTATGAACTATTGGGCTTCCGTGGCTGAATGGTTAGAGTGTGAGACTCTTAATCTCTAGGTCGCTTGTTGGAATCTCAGATGTAATTGATTTTTTTTGCAAATTCGAGGCTTATTTCTTTTTGCACTTCATTGCACTTTATAGAGCTGCTTTTTTGTGTTTTCGCTAGTGTTTGCGAAGCGAAGCTTCGCCTCTGCATCGAATCTTAGCAAATTCTAGGCTCCAACTCTTTCGGTCTGGAGGTAATGTAATTGTCTCTGAAACCTATGATCATGGGTTCTAGTCCCGACCGGACGTCGTTTTTTTTTCAGTCTATCATTTGAAATTTTCCTGGAAAAATCGATTAGTCGACTATAGTTTGTCAGCTTATGTTTTGTCGGCTTAGTTGCCATAGAAATAGTTTTTGCTTTTTCTATGTTTTTGCTAGAAATAGTTGTCCTTGTATTCCTAAATGCCCTTGATTAAGAGTCGATGAACATAGTTCAGACTCTAATAAAGGTCGCGATGATTGTTTTTTATTTAATTTTTCGCGAATTGGCTTTTGATTTTGTTTTAAGTTCAGTTCGTTTTCTTTGTTAAAAGGAAGGCAAACGCAACTATTGAACAGCAAAAATGTAAAGGTCACAGCAAAATGAAAAATTTACCTATTGTTACAGTTTTCTCTAATGCTCAAATGGGGTGCATTTTATCAAAAAGTGTCAATCATAAGTTTTTCTAGAAAATCAAAGAGCTTCAAAAGGGTGTTTTTTTTTAAATTCGATAATTGAGATTTTTTCAAAAAGCAAAGTCAGTTTATTTGTTCTTTTTTTGAGTTCTAGACTCTTCTTCAACTGTATGTTGGCTATGTTTCACTCCTGTAGTTTTTTTAAATTACTATACCGAGCTGATGTATTTTCTGTTTTTTTTTTACTTCGGCCTTAATGATTTCGGCTCTTGTGTTTTCGATTCAGTGAAATTAATTTGCATCGGTTTAAGGATTAAAAAATGAATTAATCTTGATTCGAACAAATCAGGTCGTTCGTAGTATGAAAGTTGAAAGTTCAAAATCGATCAAAAATTTTTGTGTCAGCAATTTCTTTTGGCATTTTTGTTTTTCGGATGAATTGGCGTCTCACCACGTGTATTTGGCTTAGTGAACGCTGATATAATATTAAAAGCTTGTTTAATGCTAGTGGTTGTGTTTCTCTTCTGTTTTTCTGAGATTCAGTTTTTATTGTTTCCAAAAAAATAGTTGATTTTTTTGTGACAACAATTTTCTTAGGCATTTTTTGTTTTGGAACAATTAGCGTCTAAACACGTATTTTTGGCCCAATGATTGCTCAGAACATGCTAAAATCTTGCTGATGGCTCGTGTGTTTATCGTCTGTTTTTCTGAGATTGCATTTTCGTATTCCCAAAAAAATGTTGATTTTTTCAGGTAGCAGTAGTAGTAAAAAATTTCGAGACAGTTCCCAGGTTCAAGTTCATTAGTTTAGTTTTTATCTTGTTTGTGATGTTACAGTTTCCACATCTGCATGTTATTTTGCATGTGCTTTTGTTTTCATCGGAGTAATGTCTAATAAAGACGTGCCAGTATATTTTCTGCAAGGTATCTTTGTTCAGTTTGTTACCGAAATTAGGGTAAGTTCTTGATACAAAGTCTTTTTTCGACTTAGTTTTTTCCATTTTTTCCATCTCACTCACTATTTAGAAGCACGCAATGATATGCTTTCGTTGTATCGAAAGTGATGCCAAGCTCTGCTTCGTTTTTGTGTGATTTTTCAAAGTAGAAGTTTCAGACCGAATTTTCTACCTAATTTTCTTGTGACTTTTTCAATCATTTATCTCCGATCAAATGGTTCCTGTGGTTCAATAATCGTTTCTCTTCTCAATAACTGAAAAATGGCAAAAAAGCTTATTTTTTCCTTCATATTCATATTTTACTACACCTTTTTGAATAGAAGTTCGTGTAGTCGGAACGGAACATTCTCTGCCACCAGCGGCTATCCTTTTAGGTTGAAGCAATTCGTGTTTCTAGTAAATTAAGTTTTTTATTGCTCCGAAACTTCGTGAAGTGGAAGGAAATAGGGTGTAGCATGTTTTTGCACGACAGATTTTGACTTCCTCGAGGAAAACTCAAAGGGTTCAAGTGTGTTATCTTGGTAAAAATGTTTTCAGCAGTGATTCGCAGTCCACAAAAAAATTGAGATAAATTGGTCTGATTTTTGGCGGCATTGAACTTGATGACGCCTAATTTGAATGTATATTTTAAACGTTATTTAGATATCATTTCATTTGATTTTGTAGTGTTTGACCTAAATCAATCACCTAAATAAAATCAAATTATGAAAAAAGGTGCAAATCGATCAAAAAATCTTTCGTTTCGAATATGCAACTTCAGTCAAATTTTTATGAAATTGCTGTGCCTTTTTCATAATATCTTTTTTTGCGTTCGATCAGCTGTCATGCGCAGGTGTACTGATGAGGCAATGGTTTTGGAAATATTGAAATTTTTAAGTGTTGTTTAGTTCATGGCTAAAAGACGTGGACACTGGAGCCCAGTAGTTAAATGCGTATCCGCTCACACTGGTCTGAACGTATCCGAATACTTGGACGAACTTTTGGAATTCCATAGAAATGAAAAAGATTCCGGGAGGCTTGACCAGCTGAGAAAAATGCAGAAAGTGGAAGCGTTACGGCAGATTTTGAAGGAGAATATTCTAGAAAATTTTAGAAACGCATCTGCAGAAGTTTGTTCACAAGTTGAATCTAAAATTTTGGACGGAAGCTTATCAGTTTCGGGTGCTTCTCAGATTGTTTTAGATGATTATTATTCAAAAATTCATAAAAATTAGCGACCAGGAATGATGATTAAGTAAAAGTCCTACTATAGACTACCGTATGCAAGATGTACTGATTATAACCAAGAAAAGATAGCATGACGATATTGTAATGGCGATAAAGTAACGGTGTACCGTGCTACCTTTCTAATTGTGTGAAGCAAAACTTCTGTAAACTGTGAGGTTCTTAGCCAAATTATACGATAATTGCACCTGTTTTTAAAAACTGATTGTTATTGAAAGTTGTTATTGATTGTTATTGAATTGTTGTTGGTCCAAGCAGATAAAATTTGACGGAAGTTTGACGTTGGCAACCATGAAGTATGGTGCTGATGCTTTTATAAGCACTGTTCTAGCAAAAGATCCGGATGCAAAACAGTTCTAAGTTCCAGTCCTAACAATTAATCCACAGCAGTTATAAAAATGTGGGGACGAAAATTGTACTGCCCAAAACCAGGAACTCAAAATAAGCTATTACCCTCAACTTAATCACACTTTTTGTGGAAGGAATTTTTCTGAGGAACATCTATCGAAGCAAAAAATTCACTTGCGAGAGCAAGTGTTCTTGTAATCGCGAACCAACTGAAGTAGCTTTCAAGACCATTTTATTTGCTCTAGTGACAAAGTCCGTGCGAGCCTTGGGATCCTATGTTCTGGTTATCGGGTTTTGGCTGGAGGTGTTATTTTATATCTATGGAATTTAATTTTTTTTTTACTGGAAAAATGTGAGTCGTAGAACTATGGTTTTTCTGCTTACTTTTTCTCGGTTTGCTTTCCAAAGGATGGAATTTGCATGAAGTCTGTTCTATTTAAGGCTCATTTGCTCATCTGACAATAAGATGCAGCAAATTGAGTTTAATGATTTTTTCGAATTTCCCTTCATGCTATTTTTCTTGAAAATTTCTTGAGCATTAATTGTTAGGCATATGCTACATCTGCTTACTTTAGATGCCTCATTATAGGTCATATAAAGGGAGAAAATATGTTTTAATGCGTTTTTTTTTGCTTCGGAGGACGTATCAACTTTTGCAGTCCATGGATTTTTCAAGTGCAAAATTTCTTAACACTTACGACTCAACGGACGTGTATTCAAGTATTTTCTGCCCGCTCGGTACATTTTGTCTCAGTACAATTTTAACGCTGGGCATTGCTTTTCTCAAATTTAACCTCAAATTGAACATTATTCGAGACCTCCATTTGGAGATGTTATCGACACTTTTTTCTTATGTTTATATTATTGGCTTTCGTCTCATTTTCTACCCCCTAGTGGAACCTGATCTAAACTACATTTTATGATTAGATAAATTAGATATTTTACCATTGTAAAGTATTTAATATTAACCAATCATGATCCATCTAACTAACCACCCACTTATTTGTAAGTGCTGAAATTACTTGTAATTTCAGCACCAGAGAGATTTGAATTTAACTTAGAAATTAGTTGACTCTCCAAGAAGACTTCAGCAGCCGCAATAAACCAGTATACCCTAGATCTATTGAGCCTAGCAGAGACTAGTTAAACACCCTGAGACTAGATAGTATAAGAGTAAGAATAGGATCGGTATTAGACTAAGAAGTTGCACGAATCTATCCGGCCGAAAATAAGATAGCGTGACGAGCAGACGGTGTACCCTATCCGAAATTACTCTATGAGTTAACCACATCGGTCCTAACTCATCTGGTGCGACCATAAGTCTCGAACAAGACCTTAATAGCTTAGAATTAACCAAACATAGATTAGAATTTAGACAAAACATTTTTAAAATGTTACACAACGATAATTTAATCGAAATGTCTCTACGACTCAATAGATCAAAGCCAATATTCCGAACGATAAGAGAACTGCCCGGAATTGGAAGAAGACCTCGAACCAGAGACGACATACGACAAAGTAGAAACTTACCAAATAGTTATATGATAGTACGGCAAAAGCCAACACAAACTTTTATATTTAGAATCTTATTAGCAATGAATTTAGATTTTCATTTGCAAACTTAAATCTTGAAGTCAATCTTCATGATCATTTCAGGCGCTAAACAAAATATTAATATACAATAACGATTGATAAAAAGATCTCAGATCGTTTTTCTAAAATTCTGCAGTATTCTATAAAACATGTTTGGAAAATATTTATTGAAAATCAAAATAAAAATTAGTAGCATGACAATAAACTGTTAGTAATCATAAAATCATCAGTTGTCCCAGCTTCATCACCTAAAACATAACAGCAATCATAAGCTCACTAACATCATAAAAAAAACTAAATCTTTTTCTTAAACAAATTTAAATCATTTTAAACTTAAAATCACTTAAATTTAAAACCAGATCATCAAGGCTTATCCTTGGATCTTAATTCATTTTCTATTTAATTAAATTTAAAACTTGATCATCAAGGCCTATCCTTGGATCAAAAAGAACAATTTTGTTCTCCCCCACCCACTTAGCTAGTGTCTAACGACCTCAAACGTCGATTCACTATCCAACCCTTTCTAAAAAACCCAAGACTAATAGAAATTTTTCAACAAAACTAACCATTCAAATTAGGATAAACAGTGAAGAACTTCGGTTATTCATCCTTCACTTGAACCCTCCTCTTATCAAGACCCAGGATAAATCTTAGACTTAGTAAGTTTAAAATAGTATCTAACGAACTACTCGCGTTCTAATTATACCTGAACCTTGTGGATCGATTTACTATTCTCCAACCCTTGAACACAATCACTACCCCTAAGTAAGATTAAGTAAGTTAACACCTTAGCTTATACTAGCCACGAGAAAGTAAAAAATCATTCTTCGGAATCGATATACTTTTCTCTCCAACCCTGAACAAATAGACCCAGGTTAAGCTAACCAAAAAATCGTAAGGACTAACAATTTAAGAAAATAGAAATCATCTAACAACTTTTTGCATCCGTCATCCTAAACCTTATGTCATTTAAAAATCTAGGAAACAAACAAACAATCGTTTTACACAACTGTGAAATAGATAACAAAAATACGATCTTGTAATCACACCTCATACACAAACAGTTGGATATATCAGAACAAAACGACAAACACTAAAAAGGAAAATAATAACTAAACAAAGACAAATAACACGAAAAAGATTTTCCAAAAATAGAAACGCATTTTCAGAATCAGAAGCCAGCAATTTAGACGAGCTTTGTAAATTAAAAGAATCTATAGATAAAAATTGCCCCATTCACGATCAATTATATTTTTCCGACTCAGAAACAACTTCAAATTCATCAAAAAGAGGAAAAAGAAGAATAAAAAAGCAATATAAACACAAACCAGTACATTTATATAATTGGAATCAACCAATTAGACACATCGATAATTACCTATTAACAGTCATTAAACGAAAAAATGAGCCAAACACACACTCCAAGTGAAGATAGTCCAGATGATGACGATATCTTCCCCTTCCTCGTAGATGCACCCAATGATAGAGGACAGCATATACTTTGCAAGAATTTACTACTAAATTTGTTTGAACCCGGAATCAGCCCATGTAAAACAAGAGTTCCCAGATGTAAAAATCAAAAGACAAATTATTGATCACTATCTGAAAGATATATGTAATTTGACACAACACTACGGAATCTACACCATAGAATTCACCTCACCAAACCCGAATCACCGCAAATATGTAATTCAAACAGACGACCTTGATTTAGAATTTTCAAAAGTATTCTCAGAATATATAAAAAGCATACAATATCATAACTCACAAAGAGCAAACTCCATATTTACTAATGAAGTTTTTGCAATAATATATAGTTATATCTCAATATTAGAAAACGAAATCCCAATCTCAAATGTCTCACCGACAGAGACATCTAAACATATAAGGGTACGACATGAAATCACACTATTTTCATCTTTTCTAAATATGATTAAAGAAAATTTCACAACATACAAAACATGACTTACAAAAAATTTTGGCATGGTTTATAATAGATTATTTCACACATAATATAGATTTAATTTCACAAGCAAGAAAAAATTTTAGACCTCAAAATTCAAACGATGATACCGCCATCACAGAACAGTCAGACTACGTTTGGGAACCCGAATGGTCTCATTATGCATTTATAAATATCCCACAATCAATTGCAAGTCAAGCAATAAGTACAATATCTTATATAAGAGATTATGTAAGAGTAGTACCATTAACCATTGACGCAACACCATTAAACTACAATACATTTTTACCTGATACTCGAAATAACAGTTTAAATTCGACCGTCATACACAATGAAAACCTTAATGGAACTAGAAATCTCACTCAACAAGATATTCAGACACCATCACACTTCATAAATGAAGAAATTGTCCAAACAACAACAACTACACAACAAAGTATTTCACCAATACGTCCAAATTTAACAACACCAAGAAATACAAAAACTTCGCTAGCACAGGTAACCTTACAATCAACCGTTAAACCTTCGGTTGCTCCAAAATATTCACAAATGGATTACCAAACATATAGACCCATGACAATACCGTCAAAAACACGCAGAACATTCACAAGAAACAATTTTGCGGAACATAATTATAATTATACACATTCATCAAAAACAAACTATCCTCCACGAAATAATAATAATAATCAAATCAGATCTCGATATTGGAATAATCCAATGGCAACAACCAATTCAGTAAATTTTCTAGCTAATCCACATCCTCCACAGGATCATAGTGAAAATTACCCATTCTTTCAACAGAATAAAAATAAAAAACAAGCACCTCATCAAAAGGATTACCTATCCTCTGATGATGATCATTTACAACCAGATATATTTGCACCATATACCCAAGAATATAGCGGACAAGGAATGCAGAAACCATATACACATCATAGAAATTTTTCTCCACACCAGATAGATACACAAAATCAACAACCAATACAAATGCAAAACCCAATTAAAACACAATCTTTTCAACCAATTCAGCCACAAAACCCAATGATTACACACTCATATCAACCAACACAAATGCAAAATGAAATACCACTTCCATATTATCTTCAACAACACGAAATAACAAAAAATCAACTTTCTAATTTTTCACAAATGCCAAATGCAGCAGAATCATTACAAATGACAATGAATCCATACCTTATGGGTGGATCATCAATAACATCAAATAAACCATTAATGGTATTCACAGGAACAGACCCTGAATATTCTGTAGAAGATTATTTAAATGCAGTAACAGCAAATTTAATTTTAAATATAGGACCTGAACCAATTAATACGCCACTACATCAAAACTGGATACATCGACGCACAGCGTTG